GCGGGACGCTGAGGGGGCGCCGCCGCGCGAGGCCTGCCGGGGAGTGTAGTCCAGTGGGAGAGCGGCGCCCCGCGGGGCACGCTGGGAAGTGTAGTGCCATGGGGAGCAAACGGCTGTTCTGCCGGTGCTGCCGCGAGGCGCGCTGGGAAATGTAGTCCGCCTCACCGGGCGAGCCGTGCGGGCCCTGGGGCGGTGCGAGGGCCCCGCCGCCTCGCTGCCTGCCGCCCCCGGGGGGAGGACGCCGTGTGGCGGCGGGGAGCGCTGCGCGGTGGCAGGGACCCGCGGCCCGGCGGCGGCCTCGGCCGGTTGAAGGTCAGCCGGCCCCGGCTCCGCTGGGGCAGGCGCTTGGCGTTGCCCGCAGCCCACCCAGCCGGGGCAGACATGGCTGCGGCGGCCCTGAGCTGCGGGAAAGCCTCGCACAGCGGCAGGGGAGCGGCTGGGGACACGCTGAGGCTCATTTTCCCCCTTATTTAAGTAGAAAAGTTCACCAGCTTCAACTGCACCACGTTACTCCGTGCAGCGACAGAGCTGGGAATGGCGGGGTTGATACTGATCCAGAATTAATCTGCTTTTCCTGGGAATCCTCTTGATTAGCAACTAGAAAAAGTTAATTGGGGCCTTGACATTAGAGGCAGCGGCAGGGGGAAAAGTCTGAGAGTCACACACAGAGTACAGTATTTATTGAAGACATGCAAGTGGGAATACATGCAACAAAAGCCACTTTTCCTGGCAGGATGGCTGCTGTGAAGGCTCAAAATTGCTTCCCTAGGGATTGGCAGCCAAGACTATTCAAAGTCACCCCTGTGCTATTAGAATAACAAAAAAAAAAACCAAACTCACCAGGGATTTCATTTCCTTCAGAAGAAAACCTCCAGTCTCCTAAAGAATCTTAACTGAGCTGTAATGGCTTTCCCCACCGAGGGAAATTCAGCAGGATTTAGGAAACGCTTTACCCAGGAACAGAAATTCTTTAAATTTTACCTAAGGATTACAAAAAGCAATGAAGAGGTTTCCTCCAGCCCAGCCCCGCGCTGCGAGGCCCAGGGCAGGAAATACTTGAGGAGACATTACACTTGGGGCGAATATAGAGTTACTACAGGCCCAACATAAAGGAGGTTATCAAAACTTAAAAGAATCCAATTCTTTAATTTTTGAACTATTTGGATTCAGAGGATTATTTCTGTAATTCTATGTTTCTTATCGCTATGGGAAAAATAAAAAATGACCATTCTTTAATTTGCTTACAGCCAGTTAAGCTCGCTTTATCCAGCAGCCAAGGAGGAGTCCTCTGAGCAGCATCGACAGATCTGAAAGAGTTCCTTTGTTTTAAATCCCAGAGGCCCTTAGAAAACTCCGCCTTGTTACCCCTGTCTGCACCGAGGCAATGGAGCATTAATCCTATTTTACAGGTAGAGAAAACCAAAATAAAGGGTTAACGTTGCTAAGGCCACGGAAGGTATCAGAGCCCTGAGCTAACACCTCAGGCTCTTGGTGCTCAGAAGGCTGGATAATCCACCAAGAGAGAAAAACAAAATAAAACTCTTGTCAGTGCTGGAGCTCCAGTCCTGCTCCACAGCGTATCAGCACTCAGTAAATTAGTCCCTGCCAGGGAATGACACAGAGACAAGGCAGGGGGGAAACAGGCACAGGAAAGGCAGATCGCTTGCCTGGTGTTACCAGCAGGTCAGCTGTAGAACAGGAGATGGGACTGGCTGTCCCAAGCATCCGCCCAGGCAGCAATCAAAAATGAGACATTAAAATGGGAAAGGCCCTCTGACGGGTCTTTGCTCTTACTGTACAGTCAGGAACTAATTTTGTGACCTTCCAGAACTTAAAGCAGACATGTTTGGTAAAGAGAACTGGGTAACTTCACAGTCAAAGCAGGATGTTTTTCCACAAGACTTGCTAAAAAGTTCTTGAGGCTTTTGTGACAGAACAATCAGAGCTATTGTCAGAGCTGAAACCTATCCATGTGGCAAGCAACAGAGAGGATTGCCCTGAAGGCCTGCTCCAGGGTATGCATTTATTCTCCTCAAATCTACATGCAAATTAAAAGAAAAAGAAAATAGAGAATTTTAGGTTCCACAAGTACTCTAAAGTGGATGAAAAGCACTGGGCATAGCTGGCTACTTGGGTTTTAATGAATGGTTTATGGACACGGTGCACCTGTAGCACATTTTGTTTCCTGTATTAAAAAATATTAATAAAGATATCAAAGTTGATGGCTGAGCAGGTGTTTAGTCTTAAAATGCTTTCATGCTTTTTTTTTTTCTTCATGGTCAGTCATAACTAAAGCTTTCAAAACTGGTTCACAGGCAGTAAACCCAAAATGTTGCCTTAGCCTGGCAATGGCACCTTTGGAACTTGATTTCGACTCCCCCACTCTTTACCTAATCCCCAAAAGATTTGATGCTTGGTTTTTTTAATTATTGTAATAAATCTACAAACTTTGACACGGAAGCTACAGTATCTCCAAAAAGGAAGTCAATTAGAAGCAGTACATTGTAAGTAAATCCACTCAGGAAGGAAGGTTTGATTTGGACAGATTTTTTTGACAAATTGTGGTGAAAATTACTTTGGAAGAGCACGCAGAGGAGTTATTCTGACACCTGATTTTCTAATAATTAATAGGGGTCATTGAAGGGGTAATGGGGATGTCCGGCATCTCTTGCTACTAGCTTTCCATTCACCTGTGAAGTAAACAGACAGTGTCATGTCAGAAAGATTAAAAAAAAATATATATCATTCTCACTCTCAGTTTCAAATTCTGCAGGGTTTAGATTCCTAAATCTTCATATCCCAAACATCTGGGAGCATCTTTTTCAGCTTAAACAAGAGCTGTTCCCTCTACCCCTGAGTCCTCTTAACACTTCTTGAAAAGACAATAATTTAAAAAAGAGATTTCTGTAGCCTAGAGCAAGAGTCTTTCTTCCAGCTGCTGAGGCTTGAAGTATTAGATTAAGAATAGTTAAAGGCCTTTTGGCTCGTAGTCGTCGTTGAGTAAGTGTTGTAACATGCACACTTCAAAACACTTCATAGGTCGGAGCTTTTCCCTGTGTTTCCATGATGGAGAGCTGCCGAGCTGTCAATTTTACAGATGGGTAAGATGAAACCCCTTGAATAGCTTGTTCAGGGTCATACGCTGAAGTATTAATGGTGTCACTCCACTCCTTCGTAGCACTTTTTGTTTAAGAACATTTCCATGGAAGACCAGCTTCTCCAGCTGTAAGATGGGATTACCAAAACTGATGTTCACAGATAACGAAAGAGGCTCAGGCCAGCCCACAAGCAAACATGGCCACACAGAAGTCTGTTGCTATGTCCCACTTCTAAGAATTCATATGCACATGTTGCATTTATAGTTGCATTAAGTCCATCGTGACACCAAAGAGCTGAGGTGAAACCTTGCTCCTCATCTGTAATGTTTGGGGAAACTGAAGTGCAGCATCAGCAGAGATACACACCTCCCTGGGTGACAGACCACCAGCATTCAGCTAAAACTTATACTAAGCAACTAATGACCGAATAAAAGTACAGTAGAGAAATCATTGATTTTCATAGATATAAAGGTGATGTTAGAGATCACTCAAAATGTTACAGGAGCAGAGGGAATCACAGGGACTTTCAAACCAAGCATGCACCAGTCCCCCTATTAGCTTTCAGTATAAAAACCTGCATTTCAAAGCAACACCTGGAATCCCTAAGTAATGAATTGTTTACCATGAAGACTACCGAAGTGTGAAATTAGTCACTTGGGGGCACTACAGAGCAGAAAACTAAGATGTTACAGTTTAACAGTTGACTGATACTCAGATTAAAATAAAATAAACCTGAAGTGAAGATGCCAACTGAAGGCAATCCTTAAATCTGTGGACAAAAGTATCACAGTATCTTCAGGTTTATGCCTTCTCTTGTGAGCCAACAATTTCCCCAAGTTCCAAGGATTCATATTCCTCATTTTTTTCCCCCAGTTTCTTCCCCCTGCATGTTTCACTACACTGAACAGCTCTTCAGGTACGCATTCTTGTTCACAGCATGCCAGGACAGCAGCTGCCTGAAGCAATGTTTCGTATGGCTGATTCCAGGCTACCCCAGGAATTTGAGAGGAGGAGGAGGGGTAACATCAGCAGTGAACACACTGCAGGTCAGCAGCGGTAGGCAACTACCAAAAATAGACAGATCATCATTGTGTGTACAACACCATCACTCCTCCTCTCCCAGCTTGCTGGTCATTCAAGTTTCACTAAGTATATTCCTTGGCTAATTATGCGTTTACAGAAGTTTGGATTTCAGGCTGGTGCAAGGTAATTTCCAACCTCTATCCAGATAATGAACTATTAAAGTATAAGGCCACTTAAATTGTCTATGTGCAATGTAAAAGCCTCTCCCCAGGCTTTAAATAAAAACAGAGCACAGAGAAGAACTGGTGGTTATATATCACGGAAGTAGAGGAAGGAAAAACTGTCTCGTCAGTTACGACAGGAGCTCTGATATTGCTGCCATATCACACTTTGAAATCCAGACACTGTCAGTTAGATTCATAGAGGAGATAGGCATAAAAGGTTAGACAGGAATTTTAATTCACAGTTGATGAAAATTCTTTCCAATAAGCCCAGAAGGGATGGGCAGGAGACAAAAGGTTCTGCTAGAGATCTTACAGCTACAGAGTCGTGTTTTAATTCCCCTCATCTCGCTTCTTCCTGTCTTGTTATCTGACAATATGGCAATATCTTTGAAGCTCAGCTGCATCCCATTCACCCTTTTTATAGCTGGATGGGCTGGCACTTTGAACCATATTTCATCTCTTCTTTGTGAATCACTGTGATCTGATCAGGTCTCCCAGGTAACAAAAGCACATGAATTATTCCCAGCTTGTCCAAGCCGGGCTGCATTCTAATGTATTCTGCAGTTTCATTAACAAAACAACTTTGTTTGCAACAGGAGTAGCAAAATACTTGAAAGAAACACACTGTCAGCAGCAGGTGTGCTTGTCACTACCACATTCACAGGGATCAGCACCTAAGCTTGCAGTTTGGTGTACAGACTCCTGATCCACAAACACAAAGATAATTTTGGTTGCAGGGATGTGGGGGCTGATATTTACACAGACACACTGAAGCAACCCTACAGTTAAAAGCACGGCCTTGAAGCTCCTGTGAGCCCCAGCCTGACAAACAGAGAAAGCTGTTAACAAGTATCTACCCTTGATATGAGAAAGTCATTTGCCACACGCTCACAGCTGCTCTTTTTCTGACTCAGACTAGTCATTGATACGCTCTCAAGTGCTCAAAAAAACTCACTGATAAATCCTAGAGAAAAGCTTTCCCCGAAGAATTCCTATAGCCAGAGTAAGAAGAATAATTTACAGGCAGACAAACAGCTGGAGAGGCAAGGGTATGCTTGACAGCTTCCAAATTTTCAGAGACCTACTGTACCTATGCAGTGTACTGTATGCTAGAGAAGGGATAAATCACTTCAGACTCATTATTGCACAGTTGCCATGTGTCAGTTGGTGACACACCAGGGAAAGGCAACAGCTCTCTGTCGTACAGTCAGAGGCAGGACAGTAAGAAATGAAGAACACTATAAAGACAGCAGACAAGGCATTGAAATTGAAATTACTGTGGGGTTTTTTGTGCAGTGAGAGGAAAGGGACAGGGTTAGGTCCTTTAACATAAGAAAAGAAAGACCAAGAAATCCTCAACACTTGTAAGACATTGGTTTCCATAAAAGCAGACCGGCATCTGATAGCACATGAGGTAACATTTCACGTGAGGGAGTAAACTACCGATGCTAAAAGATGCCGTGACTAATGGATTTGGGAAGAAAAAATTACACAGCCTAAGCCAAACTTAGGAAGGTCATTACAGCAGATTTTGACGGGGGGGGACAGCCAGTGGAGTGGAGTAGACAGTTTCCTTCATGTGACTTCCACACTGGATGTGGAGAACTAACACTGTGAGACTTCACAGATCTTAAAGGTTTATGGTATAAAGTAAACGGGGGCAGCTGGAACTAGGGGTACTTCTGGAGGAATGCCATGGACCTTAGCCTGCTTGTACATAAGACGAACAAACCAGCTGTTTGGTGAGACTTGAAGTAAGATGGGACTCTGGCTAAAGCTCCACAGACAGGTCAGTAATGAGAACTCAAGGGAGCCATCAGTGGCCACAACAGAAGAGAAAAGTTCTCAAAAAGCCCCCTTAGTGTAACCAGCTTTTGAAAAATTCTTTCATTTTAGTTACCCTCAAAAGATGTAGTGCTCTGATTCATAATAGTTCTGACAGGGAAATTGAAAGGAAGAAAACTGCAGAAACCCCAAGCTGTGGCCACATGGACATAATCAAAACCATTAGAAACACAAGAAATTTACCGTAATCATTGGCACAATGTAACGCCAGTTTTTGTTCAGGCTTCCAATGTGGCTCATCTCCTCTTCTGTGAGGCTGAAATCAAACACCTGAGAAGAAAAGCAAGAAGGCTTTATTCAATAACTATATATTTTTCATATTTAATTGATGTTGAGTTTTGCTTCTTGGTTTTGCTTCCTTTGTAAGTCACAACCACCCCCTTGTGCCATGAATTTCTCCAGAGCTCCACAAGTAATAAAGCTGACTTAAAGGCAAAAAAGTTTCACTTCTCAATCATCCAGGACAGAATGGAACAGCAGCAGTGACTTGAGATACTGCTGACTATTTCAGTGTTTAATTTCAGATAACAATGCAGCACTACAGCTGTAACTGAGGCACACACACAAGAATTGAATAATTTATTAAGCTGTAGTTATATAATATTGCTTTAGTATTTTCAGAAAGAAAACCTACATGCTATACTAGAATTGCGAGATCCTAGTGTTAAAACCCAAGTAAATTAAACATAATGCAACTTGTAATATTTCAAACACCTTCAGAAGCTGCAAATTTGGTAAGTTTGAGCCTCAAACAGAGGGAATTTCCATGCAACTCCGATCAACAGAATTTACCTATCTGCAAAAATCTTGGCTTTAGTATCATTTTGTCTTCTGTTCATAAATACGAAGTTGCAATTAAAGCCATTTTCTCACAAACACCAAAACAAAGGCTTAAAGCCTGAGGTGTTCATACACTCGCCAGCTCTAAGCTGCATACACCACTCTTCCACAGAGATAAAAACTAGTGGGACTGTTCCTCTTAGTGCTGCCTATTCAGTCAATATTCTGTTCCCAGGCAGATCTAAGCCTTGAGTAACTGCAGAGCTCACTGGAATTTCTTGACATTTCTAGCAGCAAACTACATGGCAGAAATTGGTTTAATGGGAGTAACAGTTACAGAAACAAGTCTTAACTTAAAAATAAGTATGTAACCAGCCAATCTGTATGATTAAGTGCTGAAAAAAGATCACAGGGGATGACTCAGAGACCTCCCTCCAAACTATTGGAAGTCAGAGTTTTCAAATAATTTCTAAAGCAAACTGTGTCAGAGCAGAAGTGAATCACACTAATTCTGTTCCTTCATCATCATCATTAGAATAGCAGTTTGCTGCAGAAACAGTCACCAGCCCTCACTTGCAGGGTAGAACAACTGTTATTCATAAATAAGAACCATTAAATATCAGTAGAAGACTTCCTTGTTCAATAAATTTGTATCTCAGATAAATTTCAGTAAAGATTTTTCATTTAGACTTTTACCAAGGACACGCTTTACCTTTTGGTAACAAGACAGTGCCTGTGCACTTATATGCGCTCACACACACTTAGTTGCTTAAAACATATCCTTTTTTTTTCCCCAAAAATCTTTACCCCCCCCTTCTAAGCACGTGCATACATTGATGAATAAGTACGACTCAAGCACCTCAGCTTGTTGCTCTGCAAGCAGTAGGACAGTATATTACTCAGATGAAAGGGCATTGCTGAAAACTCATTCTCTCCACTTAAACTCACCTGGACATTCTGCTGAATGCGAGCGGGAGTGACACTCTTGGGAATGGCAACCACTTTACGTTGCACTTGCCATCTGTTAAGAGAAGGAGGAGAGAGATTTTCTATGCATGCAGCCCAAGAATATTTATTTTGATTGAGTAATTATCTGTGGCAGCAGAGATGCCACTTATACTTCTATGTGAAATAAAAACAGCCAGAAGAGGCCTGACCAAGCACTGTATTGTATTAGGACCTAGTATGTCCGAGCTGAAGCAAAACAGTAGCCACCAGACTAATCAATGAGAGGAAGATGCTCATGCCTTTGAACAAGGAAGCAAGTTCCAGGTGCTTTAAGCTAGAAACCCAAGAAACAGTCAGAAAAACGTACTTAAGCATTTTATGCAAGTTCTAACATGACAACCACTCAGAAACTAGAAGAATACCCAGATTCCTCAAGTGCCTGTTTAGTGGCTTGAACCCCAAGCCTTGAACACATTCAGCTGGTAACTTGCTGCTGCCCAAGGCTGTACTAGGGATACTGATAGACACAGAGCCAGGGAAAAAATGAGGAGAGAAATCCAGTTTTACTTTACAATTTGCTGATCACATTCTGGATATCACTCAATCATCTTGTTTCCCAGTATCCAGTAGCTGGCTTTTGCTATATAAAAACAAAACAGGAAACGGTTCTTCAGTGTGAAGAAGGAAGGTCCCTTCCCTCAGCCCCTCTTCCTGGGAGCCCATTTGAAGAAGCAAGAGCTTAAGGGTTCAAGCAACTGGCCACGGGCAAATGCACTGGGCGGCTCTCAAATGTGGTACACTGCTGCCTTAATTGTCCTACTGGTATTTCACAGCAAAAAAAGAAGGTAGCAAACTGTCCCAGGCATGGATCCAGGCTCTGAATGGACCCCTCTGATCCTAGTCCATCCACCTGCCCTAAGGCAGGAGCAACTCTACCAACTCTGTAAAAGTAAGCACCAAAACGGGGTTTGCTTTTGGCACTCCCTGTGATAATGTGGAAGAACAAGCACTTTAAGTAGATTCCTTCTAACTTGCGTGTTTTGCTTTATTTAAGGCTGGGCCTCAAATGCCACCTTCTCTCATAATTGTTCTGTACCTGAGGATGATCTGTGCAGGTGACTTGCTGTATTTTTCTGCCAGTTTTTTGATCCCAGCTTCTTCTAGCAGCACAGGCTCATCTGGGTGTTTCCACATGCGATCTGGAGAGCCCAGGGGACTGTAGGCAGTGACAACGAGCCCTCGTTTCTGGCAGTGAGCTATCAGCTCATTCTGGGCTAGGTAAGGATGGCATTCTACCTATTGAAAGGACCCACAATGAGTGACTAGGGAACAGGTATCAACACAAAACCAGAAGCCAAAAGCACAGCAGAACAAAACACACCACAAGAGGTCATTCCAGATTCTGCAAAACCCTACCAGGATAAGCTTTAATGAAAAAGTGTCTGGTAGGTTAAGTTTACAGGAAAAGAAGAATAGATCACCTAAGATTAGAACGCTAGATTTTCCCCACGTACCAAACAGACCACCCAACAAGCAAGGAAGCTCTCTACAGAATGGATTCAAGTTACTTCCCCACAGTCTTTCTCTCTTAGAGACTAAATTGTTCATCACAGGAAAGATGAACTCTTCCATGAATCTGTTCAATCAAGCAGACATAAATGGCCACAAAACATGGATACAGGCTTCCACCTCAACACATTAATCTGCCTGGAAACACCACCTCTGTGTCCCTACTCCTCCAGAGGTGGCTATATTCTTCCCTGTACATAAGAAGCTACACCCCTGTGCTAAACACATAGCATTGGTTTGCAAATTCTTCACTCTTATGAACACATAGGAAAGATATTTGTCCTCTTCTTTATTCACCTTACCTGGAGCACAGCTGGTTTGACAGTAGCCACACTTAGTACATCATCGATCTGACGACTGTTGAAATTTGACAGCCCAATGGCTTTCACAAGACCTTTTTCTACCAGCTTCTCCATAGCCTTCCAGGTATCCTTGTAATCAGTGTAATCATACCGCATCGTATTGTCAGGATTCTTCGGGAACAGATTGTCCCCTCGTCTACAGCAACAAAAGTAAAGCGTAAGCACATCTACCACATTATTTATATTATGTTAGTTCTTCACTAAAAGAAACTTTCCTCAAAACAGTCTTAAAAGCTTATACATAGTTTGAAGGGTAGAGCACAAACTGAGCAAATTTGCCGAATTAATTAATAAGAAAATATTTCACATACTGTCCTTTCCTACATAAACTTGTTACACAGTACTTTGAACTACTTGCCTATAGAGTAGTGACTACACAGAACTGATAGCCCACTGTATGCACAGCAGCAGCTGTTTGCACACTTTGATGCCAGCAAAACAGCTGACGTAGAGAGCAGCTTTGGTTTTTCAGTTTGTTTTTGAGAGAGGACTGACATCCTTTATAGTGTGTTTGGAGCTGCTACCAAAGCGATCTTGGTTTAAGAGCTATCTAGGAGAGACTGTATTCAAAATATGCTCATTTCCCAATCCCTCTGGATTCTGTAGCAGTGTCAGCACTCAAAACAAGTGCAGATTCTCATAGAGGTCTTAATATCTACATGTTGATTGTAGCTTGGGTGTGTTGCCAGTCGGTCATACACCAACCCATTTAAAAATAAAATAAAACTTAAAAAACCAACACCCCCCAAAAAAACCCCAAACAAAACCCACCACCACCAAAAACCCAAATCAGAGACAAAGAATCTGGTTATGCCAAGTGACAGCACCACACTGCCAAAGGGCTATGACAGCTCTCTGAGCAGTCCATGCATGGAGGGTTGCCAGCAATCCCACTGGGAGAGCACTGCTTCATAACCACTGTAGGACACTGTTAGCTCAGAGACTGTCCTACATACCTCCAGCTAAGCAGGGAATGGTGAGAGAAATGGCAGCAGCTGGGGACAAGGGGAGATGGGTTTTGTTCATGTCATTGATAAATCTAGAACCAAAATTAACCGTAAGCCTTATGAGCTCCCAACTCAGAAAAGCAGCCTCATATGTCAAGGGTAGTATACTAAGTCAGAGATTAATTTTCAAGACCTAGAGGCACTGTGATTTTCATCTGGGAGTCTACTTTAAGTTCTGTGTAAATAGCATTCATCTGCTTCCAGTACAATAGGCATTACAGATAGCCATGCATTAAAACAGTTGAAGTAGAGCTGATGGACAATTGGAGAGTGAATGGTTTCCAATAAAGAAACATGAAACTGCTTTATTAGAACGTCAGCTTTGTCAACAGTTTCCACAACATCAAACAAATTTAAATATTAGTAATATCTACATACACATCATTATTTGTGTTACGTGTTGTTATCAAAGCAATGTTTAATGGGTTTTTTTTTTTCAATCAACAAGAAAACAAACTTATTTCACAACAGGGGGAATTTTTAACAGTTGTTCTTCCTCCAAACCAGCTCTGCTTGAAAACACTTCCTCATTCTGTTATGCTGAGGGATATATTTACAATTGGAGTGTCTTTCCTCTTATCGGTAGTGTTATATGCTTTGTAAAATTCAGTTCATATGACTAGAAGGGGAAAAAAAAACAGTTCTCAGATTTGCAGAACAGAGAGAAGCCTCTCAATCTGATAGGCTTTCCACTGTTGAGTGAAGTCTCCATGCAAACACCTGGTCAGGAGATTTATTCTCCCCTTGCCTTTTTACTGATTGCAGGGAAGAAAACCCTACTTCCACAGCTACAAGAAAGTAGAGCAAGGAACTTCTGATGGGGTTGTAGGATAGGCACATTTAGCTCTTAACTGGAAAACTGTCTCTTCTCATATTTCCTCACATTGTAGAATTACTGCAATTAAAATGTCCTAAGAAGTCATTTTCATTTCCTCCTCATACAGATACCACCATGATACTGCATGTGCTTGGCCACTCCTGTACAGCTAATAACTATTAGTGAAAAACGTTGTCTTCTTTACAAAGCACTTAATTGTTATTTAACAGATAAGCAAATCTAAGGCACAAATCAGTTTTGGTATTTCCTCAAGGTTACCATGTAGGTCAATGGCAGAACCAAGAAGACTACCAAGAAGGCTACCGCACTTCCCCAACACCTAGATGAAGACACTAGGCTATTTTAAACTCCTAGTATTTTTTAAACTCCAAGATTTTATCTCACAGTAAGCCAAATTTTCAGCTAGTATACAATGGCAAGTTCCAGTATAGAACCCTGCCCCATAAAGTTTTATTACTTTTTCCCAGTTAGACTACTTTCAGTTACCTAACTTTGGCACCCATGCCAAACTGGCAGAAGCTTGGTGATCCTAATGATTTCATTACCTAGTTTTTCTCATTATTAAAAAAATTAAGTATTTGCTTAAAGGTTTTAAATGAAGACTTAGTATCCATTTTTCCAGCCCCATCATTGCTAAATAATAAGAACTATCCCTTTTCTATTCACAATACTTCTACACAAAACCAGAAATTTTGTCTCCTCTACTGTATGTTTACAGACATGCCACAAACCTAACAGTAAACAAATTCCCACCCAACTGAAATTCAAAGAAGAATGAAATTTACACAATTGTTCCTGTGAATGAATGGACGAAATATGAGTAGAGCGTACAGGTTATGAGTAGAAAAGAGTGTTTACATGCCAGTCTGTAGGACTACACTATTAGCTACACTGAAAAACATCTTGCAGGCAGTATATACAGAAGAAATTCACAGCTCAGAAAGAAGGTCCTCAGGATATAACACCAGCCACTTATGTAAAACAGGGTTTCTGCATTCTGTGCCCTTTCCATGTAAAACTTACTCAAAGGCATGAGGCCAGTGCATGAGGTACAGGTCCAGGTAATCCAGTTTCAAATCCCCAAGTGTTTTCCTTAGCGCTGGCTCTACATCATCTGGGTGGTGCTTGGTATTCCAGAGCTTTGATGTTACAAACAGGTCCTCCCTTTTAATAACCTTTAAAAAAAAGGAGGAGAGCATAATTTACAGGAACAAGTTCAGGAAGAAAATTGCAGCAATTCCCCAACTAACTTTAAAACAAAGAGAATGCCTTAAGTTGTGTTTTTTTTTTTTAAAAAGAAAGGTAACAAGTGGAGCCTGCAAATTAAACCTTTCAAAAAAGTACTGGGAATTGCAGCAATTCCCCAACTAGCTTTAAAACAAAGAGAATGCCTAACAAGTGGAGTCTGCAAATTAAACCTTTCAAAAAAGTACTGGATGGAGAAGAGCGAGAGAAATACATGCATTGGCCAGTCCTGAAGTTTAACAAATACTTAGCAATTTGAAAAACAAAACAATCCTCTCCACCCCCACACACTTTTTCAAACTTTCCAATTCAAGGGTTAAAGCCACTACTAACTGTGATGTGGCCAAAAGAATGATTACTCAGTTAATTCATATGTAAATTTTGTAATTTCTATTTAACAATTCACATATTCTAGCCACAACCAACTAACTTACTATACTCATCACATGTTATAAGCCAAGAATGCTTCTCATGGGAAGACTGTGGGAAAACAAACAGAAGAAGTTTCCCCAAACCTCCGCACTGGAGTATCTAGGTTCAGAAGGAATACACTAACAACTGAGCACCCCGTATCCTGTATTGGAAGGGTAAGACCCAGAAATTAAACAAATAGACAGCTGGTGAACTAAAAAGTATAAAATGCAAAAGGAAGATCACATTTGGCAAGCTGAAGCAGAAAACACCATCAGAAGGCACTTCTCACTGTCTTACGTATAACCAAATTTCACTTGTCTCTAATTTGTAAAAGCTGGAATGGTTAATTTCTTTGTTTCTCTCCTCCAACTATTCAGATATTTCTGTGTCTTTTTCTCACTGCCTTACGTATTACAAATTAGAGACTTGAGTGAAATTTGGTCAAAGGTGGAATGATTAATTTCTTTGTTTCCTCCAACTATTCAGATATTTCTGTGTCTTGCATATGGCTGTTGTGTTCAAAGAGCAAGATGTTTTAAAAATTCTAGTTTTAAGTTAACCAACTAATATGAACCGAGTAAGAGAGTCATAGTCTTCCCTATATTCATTTCCATAACTAGTAGGAAGGAATCCCCAGAGCAAGCTGAAAGCAGCCTCTCTCAAGCTAATCACATAACAAAGAGATTGCCCTAAGGCCAAGGCAGGAGCAGCAGGAAAGCAGGAACATAAGAACTTTCTTTCCATGGGCTCTGAGGCTGAACAGGTAATCCCTATGGCCCCTCAGGCCAACAAGAGCAAGGGGATGAATTTAAGATTACACCTCAGGTCATCCATAGGAATACCTGTCACATTACATTATACTTAGGCCATGAAGTCTCAGGTGCAAGCCCTAGAGTCACAGTTACCAAATCTCCAAATGCAATCACTGTTAAAAAAAAAAGTACATATTTACTCACTTATATTTTATCTATAACCAAAAAACCCAGTCACCAAATTTGCTGTGGCTACCCACCTTTGCATGCTATTCTACACTGGCAAACTACCCCCACAGTCACCGAATTTGCTGCGGCTACCCAACTTTGCATGCTATTCTACACTGGCAAACTACAGTAACTTCTCATATAAATCATGGCAAATATTTTACATTCTAACTACTGATTTTGGGAACCTCCAATGTTTAAACGCCCAAATTGAGATACTTGCGAGGGAGAAAGGGGTACGCAGGGAAATTATTTAAAAAAAAAAAAAAAAACCCAAATTGAGATACTTTGCGAGGGAGAAAGGGGTAGGCAGCGAAATTATTTATTAAAAAAAAAAAAAAGGAATTTTCTTCCATGAAAATATTCATAGAATCATAGAATGGTTAGAGTTGGAAGGGACCTTAAAGATCATCTAGATTCCTGACAATCTTTTCTCCTCCTGACAGCCAGGATGGTTATAAGAGGAGAGAAAGCCCTCTTTCATGCCTGCTCCTGATAAATAACAAACAGCTGGGATGGACTAGAAGGAAAAGCCAGTCTACTTTCAGGTCACAGTTGTAAATTTTGATACAACATACTGGCGATACGATAAAAACACCATACATGGTGATTCTTGTGTTTTTACCTTGTTGGGCCCAAGGCATTCCTGGAAAGCCTCACCGATCTCCACCTCATTGCTGTAAGCAGCTGCACAATCGATGTGGCGATAACCCACGCCTAGGGCATATTTCACCGCTTCTTTCACCTGTAATCAGAAACAGATTACCCAATGCAACCAGTGGAAAGGGACACAAGACTGGAGAAAGAGGCGAAAGAAAAGACCCAACCATTTGGGATTTGGTGAGGAACATTCCCAAAGTACAAACCTACATAAGGTCACGAGACCCAAAGAGAGTAGAATAGAGTCTTCTGTCACACAGCCTTCAGGAGTAAAGAGCTAATTGCCAGCAGATGCTCCAAGAGTAACAAGAACATGGACCATGCACACAGGCCAAGCATGCAAGAACTTACCAGATAGAATAGGGATTCATTCCTAACTAGAGTTGTCACGCTTTTCTTAAATATCAAATGAGCTTTAAGAAACAGTTTTCAAACAAATCATAGCTTAGGAAAACAAACTTTCTGGAACTAACAGACCAATGAATGTCAGCCAAGCCTGGAAGATACCTCTTCTCGCAGAAAATGAGTCTAGTTTCTGCCAGAGTTTGGGTTTGGTTCAACTGCTCACACCTAATTTCTAAGATAATGCTATTTTACAACACATTTTTCCTTCATGTCTCATTCTCACTGATTGCACAACAATGTAAGTCACTATACTGCTGAATATTAACCCATGACCTGCAGGGGATCTCCTGATGAAGCTCACAACTTTCCATTTTGCTTTCCACATTGCTGCTACACATCTATTACTCCATATTGTTACACATAAGCCAGAATGGTTGGGACTCAAGGCACTATACTTCAAACTTGTTTCTCCTTTTGAAAGTTCTAATGAAGCACAAGCACAAAACATATTCACACGTGGGCCTCAGATATGGAGCAAGTCTAGAAACCAAAGAAGGAAACGCAGAATAGCATCTTTTCAAGGATTCTTAAATAGCTTTTGAATAAAGATTTTTAATGAATGATTGTGCAAGAACCAAGAATTACTCCAATTTCTGTGTAGTCATTAATTCCCATTAGTTTGATGAGCATTAAGTAAAATCTATTTTATTTAACTTCCAGGGAACAGCAAGCACATGTTCTCTTTTACACCTGCCCATCTCAAATACTACAGTAAGAATACGTCTTATCTGTACAGTGATTTCTAGACATTGCTCTTCTCTGACTTGGCTCTCAAGACTGTGGGAAGTTGTAAACTACTCTGTGTATAAGGCTTGATGCAGTAGGGCCCTAATCCATTTATAGAGATTATGTCTCTCTCATTATAAAATGTGTCCACAAAGGCTAGAGAGACTGATTTCTTTCTACTTAATCAAAGTACAGGCATTTTCAATTTTAAAGCTGACAAAATTATTAACAACAACAATTAAAGACATGTACAGTCCTGCTTTCAGATGCTACAGAAAGAGAAGGGAGGATCAGACATGAAAATCAGACATGTATTCGACTCTCTTCTACTAGTGGATTTTATTTATTTTTCTTGTCAAGGACTGCAGTAAAGGCAGACACAGGATATTCTGACTGCATTCCTTGGCATTTTGAGAGGAGAACTGGAATGTAGATCTGTTTCCCTTAGCTAGAATGACAAAGCACTTCTATTACAGCAGTGAAGTAAGCTCTCTTCCTTTCTCTAGTGAGGATGGTATTTACAGTCCTTGTTTCACTTTGACAAAGACATTCCTCAGAAGGTCACTATGAAGTCAAGGTCACAGTAATTCTGAAATCACTGGAGACATGTTAAAGGCTTTTAAGATTCAATATCCATGTTCCAAAAAGGTAAGAGCTGTGGAGCAAAAGCAGAGAGGAAAGGAAAAAGAGTACCAGGGTAATTCATTTTATGGCAAGTTTTGTATCTGTTTGGATTAAAAAAATGTATGTGGACACTACAAGCAGAAAAACTGGGATAAGACACTCCAAACAAGACTCTGCAAGGCAATAAAAGGAAGGCCATATTTCTATGTCAGAGTGTTTTGATGAATTTCTAGCACTGAAAAACTGGGACTAGTCATTTAAATAAGGTTTGGATTTGGGCAACATTTGTATTTCTGTAAACTACTCTCAGCCTACTAAGACATTCCAATGTGAACTGAGAGCTCTTGTTCCATGCACAAGGCAAATAACCAAGACAAAATGTGCAAAAAAGCATTTCTTGGAGAGAAACAGAGGCAAACCTAAAAAGAGTACTTTAACAGAAAATTTTGTATTTTTGAGATTATATTCAGACAGGTACATGCATTTCCTGTGGGGCTGGGGTGGGAGGGGGAAAAAGGATGGCAAAAGCACTTGGAATATTTGGTGCCGTGAAGTAATAAGAGTCAGAGGATCCCTCAAACTTTCCATGCCTTCTTTAGTTTAGCCTGGAAATACTGCTATGGAAGGAGCAATTACTGAGTTCATTTTTCACTGGGGAAATTGAGTCACACAATTTAAGTGTGACTCACCAACCTAGCTTCATATAACTACAGAAAGTTGGTCTGAAAGAACATTGAGACATCATCTAGTCTATCTTCATAGATATAACCAACTAAGTCTAAACCACTCCTACACACGCTTGTCAAAACCTTCCTGTAAAAACCTTTCCCAGCCAGTCTATTCCAATGCTTAGATACCTGTATGTTCAAAGCCTTTTAGATCTCTAACCAAGGTGGCCCTGATACCACATCCTATTCCTTGCAGATGTGAAATCCATAGTTTCCCCTTTCCGATGGCTTTTTGTGGATTTGGAAGGTGTCAGCATGCCTCCTCTCCAACCTCTCTTGACCATGTAACTGCAGGCGCATCCATCTTTCATCACAACTCTCTTTTCCCAGACCTTGCATCACTGTCGCTGCTGTATCATCTGCTGGTTCACGCTTTTCTTGAAGCAGTTTGCCCCAAAACAGACACAGTATTGCAGCTGAAGCCTTAACTCTCCTTCATTACATAGCAAAGTCTAGGAACTACACTCCCATTTATACATCGCAAAGGACTTGGCCTTCCCACCCACCCTCTTTTGTTTTTGAAGACACAGGAACACAATATCGCTAACAATCAGTGGCAGATCGAGAAACAGAATCTGCAAGACCAAATTCAGTATAATATACCTTACTAGATTTCCAGTTCTTCAGTTTACCCATCACACAGTGAAAAACTAACAAGCCGTCTTTACACTTGCAAGCAACACAGAATTCAAGTGACCAGGGAGCCTCTTCTGCACAGCCCCAAGCCATTATGAAGAGGCTTTCACTCTAACAGTTCCAGTCAATAATATTTGGAAAGGAAAGGCTCTGACAGCTTCCCCTTCTTCCTGCAACATTGTCACATTTTAGTGACATTTGATGAAGGGAAATAGGAAAAAAACTCCAAAAAACAGATCACCAGTCCACATGATATTCAGATGCAATATGACTGGAATAAAAGTGTTGCTATAACACGGTTCGTACATGCTGTACTAAAAATTGCTGAAAAGGAACTCAAACCACCAGACAAGTAATGCCAACTTAGAGCTGATATTCCCTAAAATAAAGAGTTTTGCCTCCTATCCTTCAGACGTGGAATTCAAGCTCCTCCCCTAATATACACTAATAGTAGTGAATTTTTGTGCACGTCACAAGGATTCTCTAGATCATCTAACAAACGTTTCAAGAACCAGTCTCCTCCACAGCTGCAATCCTGTCACAAGACACCCAGTCTGACTGGTTTTCTAAGGTACACATTTCCTCCTCAGCTTTCTTGAAGTTTCACACAGAAAAACACAAGTTCCCTCAGCCCCACGTCTCTCTCTCCCCACAGGATCAGCCTCTGCCACAGCAGATTAGACTGTTCATCTGGGGGGATCAATCCTCCAGGTTGAAAGGATGGCCCACATGAAAGAAGAGAACAAAGCATGAAAGGATTACAGATAATCAAGCTCCAAAATTAAAAAAAAAAAAAAAAAAAAAGACAAAATACTTTTACAGTGACAGCCATGAAAATCCCTTGGATACGCAATGAATTTGTGAGAAATGCAACTGAGTTTAGAAATAACAACTTTCTAAGGCTGAAAAAGTAACCCATGATTGAAGAAGTTATCTTAAATTAGATTATGTGTAAATGAAAGAAATGCAATCTTGTGCTTAAACAATGACCTAGACAAATTAAGGAAACCTCAGTATCCTGCCTCTGAGTGAAACTCTGCAAGTTCTTTTCCAAAAGTCAAGTTAAATTAACTAACTTGTAAAGTACATAAAAAACAGTTCAATGATTTCAGTTGTGGAATAGTCTTGAAAGGAGAGCCTTTATGTAGTAAAAAAAAAAAAAAAAAAAGGCATTTTTGATGCTCCTATCTGAATGGACTTCTCTTTGAACTCATTCACACTGCCAGTTCATAAGCTTCTGTACTGTGTTCCCTTCCATTCAATAGCCCTCCATCATGTTCCCATGGTAACATGTAAAACAAATTTCTCTTCTAGCATTGGACCATGTAAGACAGAAAACATCCTATTTTAAGTTAGTCTTCCAACATGGATTTAGATTGAGTAATTTCTACCCCCTATTTTTACTGTCTAGGAAACTAGGGCTGCAATGACACCTTTGTACTGGACTGCTAAGATCTGGCTCCAAGGACAAGGCTTGTTTGAGATAAGGAATAGTAACAGCAATAATAAAAAAAATTAATCAAGAGAGTAAGGTCAAGACTGAGACACCGGAAAATAATTACAGTCCACAAAATATTTACCTGAAATCATCTAAAAGCTACTTCCACTCTTGCTTCTAATGCAGCCATTGCAGAAACCAGCTTTTGATAAATAGCTTCTACTTGGGAAACAACTAGATTAAATATAATCAATTATTATTCTTCTGCTTCTCTAGGTTTTTGGCCCTTAGTCTTCAATTCACAATTGCAATTATTCTCTCTGAACTACATCATGTCCTTTTCAGGGTAAATCATTTGGACGCTCTGCCAAGTTGCTGGTATGCTTCTGAATTTGATAGGTCTCCATTTAAAAAATGCAAACAATTTTGAAGAGTGACAAACATTAATTTATTTATTCCATAGGAAAGGAACAGCAGCAACTTCTGTAACTCTGGTCATTTTCACTGGATTTTCTATATGATGTCTTCAATACATTCTAGGAGTAAGTCTTTGAAGACTTATAAAGTAAATAAGTATTAAGGAAATATTCCACAGAAGTTACTCCCATTGACTTTCATGAGACCTCAGAGAAGATCCCTGGCTCCTACACAGGGTTCTGCTGGTAGAAGTGCTGCTTACTATGGCAAAATCCATCTGAACTAGCTTTCAATTATGCACAAGCAGGATCTTTCCAGGTTGTTTTATAAGATCACACTTTCCTCAGAGCTGTTAGTTCACAAATTAAGCAACGCTTTCATATTTTGTTTGTCTAGTTTCAGGCATTTGTTCTAGCACAATGCACATTAAACTCCTTTGGGTGCACAGAAATTCATCAATTAAGTTCCTGCTTGTTAATAAACTTAATTCAGCCCTTCATTGATGTTTTAAGTGACAGAGCTGAACATTTACCCTTGTCCTCATTTAAGAGGTTGTCTGAGCTCTCACATCAACTCAGCTTCCACATTAGCACAGCTTCTACTCCCAACAGATCCACTGTCCCGACAGTTGTTTGGACAGGAAGCCCAACAATGAAATGGCTCTGAAGAGATCTCATTTTTAATAGCTCGTTTCCCACCTTTTCCTCTAGCTGGCATGAGCAAATAGCACAACAATCTTGAGAAGAGTTTTAACTTTCCCTCTCAGTCAGGAGCACAATGTCATCCGACATACTTCAAAAAACACCATGAAGCTAACACAAAAGGCATTAAAACCAACAATAACAATTAAGAATTCACCAAACAAGAGGACACTCCTGCTGGACACCGCACATACTTGCTGTGAAAGGCAATCTCTGCTCCCAGGAATTTATCTTTTAAATAAACTAAACAGAAAGGAAAAGACAGACAAGGAGGAGAAGTATTACAGTAGGAGGCACAGTTTGTAGCACACAAACATTCCCACAGACCATTTGTAATAAAGCACAGAATGGTTTCCAAGTGCAGTGTTGCCAATTCAATGCATTTAGAAGCAGAGTGAACATCTAATGACACATTAGTCGTCTTAGTCTTAAAAAGCAGGATGAGCCAAGCAAGTTCTTTGCTTTCCTGCTAAACGTAGGCAGACCACTGAACAGGACTTATTACAAGAACAACTAGGGTTCCTGCCTCCCAAAATAATGCTTTCAGCTGAGTCATCAGTCCAAGCCAGAGGGATGTCTGGTGAAACCAGAGGATTTACCAGTGGAAGAGTCAGGCACCATATTACAGCGTTTTCCTTGTCTCACCCTACTCATTAGTCTCTTTCTGGATTCATCTCCCAGAGCACCACTGCCTGAGGTCTGGGTTAACAAGTCTTAGGGGAACTTCTGCTGCTGCTTTCGTACCTTAAGGCCTTAATCATGCAAATACATACATACATAGGTCCACGGAATGCAAGACTAAAACCATTCAAGTGAAGGATCCATGCCCCAGATCCAGGATCTTCAAAAACAGTGCAGAAAACACTAATACTAGTTGAGAGCACAACATTGTATTGTTCTCTGCTTACTTGGCCACGTTCACTTTTCCAAGTTCCCAGTCCTATGAGAGGCATCTTCTGCCCAGTATTGAGTGCAACGAAGTCGCATACTGCGGACATTTTTGCCTAAAAAAGAACAAGAACAAACTGAGTTTTGCAGCATTCAGTAAGTTGCAACAATTCACCTTTTTATGCAAAAATAAATAAATAAAATCATAGAGGTCCTCATAGTGCTAGAATAAATCTGAAGTAGGTTCTTTACAGATTTTATTGGTATAAAGGAGATGAATAGCCGCCCTGGAGAGAATAGAAAAAGAATGCCCAGGTTTAACATTCCTAAGGGTTGAGAAGTACAAAAAGCAGCATCCTGCAACAACATACAATTAATACAGAAGCTCAGGTGAAATCATGCTTTTTCTTTAAATCATCAGAAAGCTTCAATAGGGTAGAAGAGCACAAGAGATTTTTGTCTGTCCTTAGTGTACAGTAATTCCACAGGACTTCTGCACTTTTTACCAACTCCCTAAGAGCTGGCTCAGGAACCAAGCTCTAATTACTGCTGCCGTTGAGGATAAACACATTTCGTCAAAAACAGCTGCTGCAGATTAAGGTTTGAAGACCTGATACAGGTAGAGGTTTGATTAGGAGTGAATAGTAACGGCATTTATGAAAGCATAGTCCAGAAAACCAAAAGAAAACAAAAAATAACGCTCCAAAGAACGTCAGTGCTGAAGGATCAGTCCCATCTTTTTATGCCAGATATGTGCTTTGTCACCCTTGAGCCCCAATTTTCACCAACTCAGAGCTGAACTACAGCTCATTATCAAGGCTGACTGGCATCGTGAAGAAAACCAGAAACATTTTGGCTTCCTCTGCAACGTAACTGTTGTTTTAAGAATTGTTATACACCTGCAACAAGCAAATGCTATCAAATGAGAAGACTTTTTAAAAAACAAAAACAAAAAAAACCCCAAACAAACAAAAAAACCCAAACACTAAAAACCCTACTCTGATGAGAAATGGGGGCTAGCAGAAGAGGACAAAAATGGAGACACTTTCAAAGCTGGATATTAGAAAATAACACATCTGTACACAGATCATGTAAAACTGATGGATATATACCTTTTCTTAATCATTCTGCAGAATGCAGAAATATAGCTAGCTGTGTGCACAGTGAGCTAAAATACAGTAGGTCCTTACATATTTGTGTAGTTTGATTCCCAAAATAACTTTCTGTCTCCCTGCTCCATCAGAAAGGGACACTATCATTTAAAGAGCTGAAAGATTCCTTGTTCCCATAGTGCCAAAATCAGCACGTGGACTCTAATGGAAATTTGAGACTAAGAGCTCAAGTCTTGCATAAGATGCATTTCAAGTACAAACAGAAAGCAACAGCTAGCATTGCTCTTATAGAAAGTGTCACACACCTGACTTAGCACAAATTCACAGAGGAGTAGTGTTCTTCTGTTACTAAAGGGAGAATGAAAAAAGATGATGCAGAGTGAGTTGCACTTTGAGCCTGGGCTTCTCTCTCATGCCTAGCACTAGATATCCAAGCATTTTCCCTGTGAAATTCAACAGAAGAAAGGTCCAGCAGGATCTTCCAATACCTGTTGCTGGCTGTACAGCTGCTGCAAACAGCAATAAGCTCAGTGGCACAGCTTTTAATCAAAATGGAAAGTTTTACAGTGTGTCCAAGTGTTCTCACAATTTACATTTCTGGTCAAACTGTTAAAAAGAAACGGCATTCAGGATGCTGACTTGCTGATTTCAGCAGAAGCTGAGGAAGTTACTTCCCAAGTTCAGCTGTGTCCAAACTCATTAATGTTATCTGGTTAAAAAAAAAAAACCACCACAAACAAAATTAAGAGTTGAAGCATGCAATGTTGGGTGAATGGCTTACTCTGTAGGAGGAATGTATGTTGTCAAAGCAGAGCATTCACACAGCATACCATCCCAAAATAGCTCTGCCTTCTCCATGTTGTTATCATTTTCCTCAGATAATTAAGTCCCAGCTGATGGATGTTTGTATTTTCAATTTCTTGCTTAGCTTCTCAAGCCATATTTTCGTAGACCCACAGCAGACACCAACCAGCACACTTGTTTTACAGAGATAATAGATTAGTTGGATCCTGACCTGAAGGCCATTGCACACCAAGGACTTAGCCATCCATGTAGCAGTTAACCTCAGTAGGTCCAGGCTTGTCTTGTGCTGCGTTTCATGTACAGCGTGGCCTTCAGGCCTGTGCTGTGGGATGCACACCCCATGGCCACAGATAAGCTCAACAGCTATTTCCAACAGGGGAGCCTGCAGGCAGCTCCCACTTGGCACCTGTGATTACACCACCTACGTGTCCTTGCCTTTATCTGAAAAAGCAGGATGCTCGCATGAGAACTTCCTATTTATTTAAAAGTAGAAATGATGAATAGAGTTGTTTTCTTGTAAGAGAATCCCCATTAACTCAAGTGACTGAAACAGGGTAACCATTTCTATGGACAAGGTCTGCACAACATGCTGCACATGAATCAGAGAAGGTCTGCTCAATGCTGCACGACTCGGGGTTCCCGGCACTTGAAGGAATGTAAAATTACTAATACTATCCTCTTTCTTTACAGGGTTTGCTCTAACAAACAGCATTTGAGGTGATACTTTACAAAGTCTTATCAGGATTGTAATGGATCAGCACCTCCTGGTGCAAAACAGCAGTTAAACACAAAGAACAGGTCTGAATTTGCACTGAGATGTATTAAGTCCAGATGTCCATGCTGAAGGCAATCACTGGTGAACCAAACTGTGGGCATACATCTATTTTTTGGGGTAGGGAGTCAGACAGCGAAGAAAGACAGTGACAACAGTATTCTCTTCTATTCTGAATTTGCACAGCAGTTTTGTAGTCAGCTACATGCAAGTAGGTGCTTTTTATCCAAATTTAGTTGCCTAAGTAAAGGTTATCTTCTCACACCATGCAATGCAACTAAAGACTTAAGGCTTTTTGATTCACATTGGCCGGTAACACAAATATAACACAACCATATGCTTTACACAAACATGTTACACAATCATCTTAGATGCAACAGTTCAACCCAGAAGACAAGGTACACATTTAATCAATAACTCGCATCAGCACATTTTCTAAGAACCCTCTTGCTTCATGTAACACTGTTGTATATTAACATCACAGAGAGAGCAGAACTCCAGCCTCTAGAAGACTGGAAACATGCCAGAATTAGAGACACTAATTAATACTTTCCACGCAGATTCTTCCCTTAACAAGGGGATGTAAGAGAACTACAATGTCTGCTAGCCATCATTATTTCATTCATTAAAAAGCTAGAAGCCTCTTTTTAGAAGGGCAAAGACAAAAATAAACATAGAAGCAAAGTAGTTCTAGGACAAGTAAGATGTGGGTTTGGCTTAATGACACCCACCTATTGCCACATTCACATTAAAGTTAAAGCCCAGAGTAATTCAAAGGCAGTTTAAGCTGTCTGGCTCGGAGGATGCTTTAATAACCAGAGAAGTGTAAGCCACAGCTGTGCATCAACTCACAGCTACAACTCACTTTTAATGGAAAGCAAGGCGTCTCCCATCAGTAAAACGCATATAAATATGCATGAAATGAATATGGATAGATATGCAAATAGCTTTATATTGAAAATACGGAAGTCCCCGCTACCGAATCGCTGTCGTGCCCCGCAAACGGGGACTAACCCTCCATGTTTCGGCTCCCGCCGAAGCGCCAAACGTGCCCCTTATCGGGGCGGCCCAGGGCGGGTCCGCCCGGCGGCGGTTTGGGGGGGGCGATAAGGCCGCCCCACGGCCGCGCTCACTCACCAGCACGCCGCCCAGCACCGACCCGCTTATACTGCCACCGCCGCCCGCTTTTGCCGCCGCCGCCACGGAGCTTCCGCTTCCGGCCGGGAGCTGCCACCGGCCCGGCCCCGGCGGGAAAGGGCTCCGGTGTTGTGATTTTGACAGCGCCAACCGGGCTTTGCGGGTTTTCCCTCCCGGAGCGGGGCTGGCCACCGGGCCGCCCCCGGGGAAGGCGGCGGGTTTGCCCCGCTTGGCTTTTCTCCTGCTCCGGGTTCGGTTCCCGTCGGGAAATGCCCGCCGGCCGGGCTGTCCCGTGATAAACCCGACAGACGGCACCGCACGGGGGGAAACTGCAAAATACAGACCTAACAGATAAAGGCTGCGCCAAGGGTATGCGTTCACGTAAAGGTCTCCTTGTCTGCTCTTTGTCTTGGCCTCCCCAAGCTTTTTTTCCTGCTTGGAAGACAAGAATTCCCCCAGTTTTATTTGCAGCCTCAAATAACCGGAATCCAGGGAAATTTTGGAGCCAGTCACGCTCCTTTTGCTTCAGCTCTTGTGCTGAAAGGTGCACAAAGAAGTGGCACTTCCCCAGAGGACTGAGGCCCCTTTGGTTGCAGCCACACAAGAATATGTTTCCTTATTTGCCCAAGAAGATTGAAAGTCAGATTAAAGCAGAGTGGTTTTACCTGAGCACTTCTGGGTAGGTACAATCAATCTTCCTATTGTAGTCAAAGATACAACCCTCAGCAGGAGCAGACTTTGGCCTGTAACAGAGAAAACCTAATCTTAAACACAACTCAATAAAATTATAACCAGTTTCAACTTTTACTCCAGGCTTCCATTTTTATAAGTGATTTATAAACATTCAGAATTGGAAAAGAGTAAGATTAGATCAGAAATGAGGCGATCTATATATGCAACAAGGCTTTGAAGAGGCTGTTATTTATTTCCAGAAAGAGAATTCTGCTGGAGATTCTTTCTCTGCTGTTCTGACATGAACTGCTCAGGAGGCTTAAAGGCACAAAGGTTAATTAATCTCTTGGGTGTGCACATGACCAGATTTTTCTGTTGTGCAGCCTGTTTTGAAAAAATACAGGAAAGTGGAAAAAGACTGCAAGGACAAGACAAGACAATTAAAAGTAAGAAGAATAGAAAATTGAGAAGAAAGAATCATGGGGGAGGAATCACCACTGGGTTTAACTTATTTTTTTATGGAGACCCTGTCAATCACAAATCCATTTGAAAATCCACAGTCTTAATGCAATAGAAGATGCTTGAATTATATTAATGTCACATATGAAAACTGTAACAAACCTCAGCCCCTGACAATGTAATAGGGAGTAAAAGAGAAAAGGCAAGGAAGATTAAAACATTTTGTCATCAAAAGGCAGTGACCATCCAAACATACAGTTTATTGATTAAAAAAAAAAAAAAGACGTGGAGAAGCAAAAGTTAATGCAAGACATTTTGACCTAGAAAGGCCACCTTCACTTGAGCAAAACAATGAAATCAACTATGTGTATTGTATATTTAATGATATGTAATTGTTTTCATTAAAACTATTGTGCACCACCAGCTGCTTGTGCATAAATGCCCCACGGCTTGGGAACATGGCAGTTGTTGACTTTTCAGTTTGACTTTCTGCATATATTCTATGAAAATGTCCCCACATGGCCAGGATTTTACTCTTACCATGCCCCTTATGGTACACAGTAAGTTCAGTATGTCCAAGTTTCAGCAGGCTTTCTGCACACACAGTGATCACTACAGAACACACGTGATGATGTCCTAATGTTGCTGGCCTCAGAGGGCACGCATGGACCACCTCTGCTGCACAACTGATGTGTATATGCTCAACGCGTGGCCAGTGTTGCCCAAGCCCAGTTCGCACTGCTGTTCTAAGTCCATCTTACTCTACAAGACCTGGCTACACTTAGGTAAAATCCTCAAATTCTCTTCTGACAACATGCACAGAAACCCAAATGTGTGCTAGTGTCCCGAAACAGGACCCATTTCTTTTCCTTTTATTTTTACACACAGCAGGGGTTTTGTTTTCCACATCAGGGACCCATTCCCAACCAAAATACGTGGCAGACACTGTGATCAAAATGATACCTGGAAAATCTGGCATGGTTACCATCTTGGAAATCTCTGGGTAGTTCCAGTGCTCCAGCACTGCAGGGCCAGCCAGCTCCTCTTTGTTAAAGCATAAGCTACTTTTTGTGGCCATAGCTGTATGGATGGGTGCAGAGAGGCCCACACTGGGGCTTCTGATGCTCCATGCTAATCAGGTACCAGCTGATCCTGTCTGGCAGCTATTTTAGCAGAAGACTACACCACAGCTAATCCGCTGTGTGAAGAACAGAGTGTGGAGAAGCAAGGTCTGGTCTGGAGAGAACTCCCTCCTTCCAGCACCCGCTTGGGTAGACATGCCCTTTCTTTCTTAGAGAATTTTGTGGTTTGTTTGTGTTTTTTTTTTTAATCTAAGTAGCATCTTACAACTAAAGATTGAAAAAGGCTACAGAAACCCATCTGCTCACTCAACGAGGAGTGGCCCTGACATTTATCACTCCAAAGCCTCCAGAAACCTATGATTGGAAAGACTAGCTCAGAAACTAATCAAAAGTAATGAGGCCATGGACATATGAATAGAAATGCAATGCTTAAAGCACAAACCCAGAACAAACTGCATTGTGGTACCTGTACAAAATGGGTATGTTATGCATCTGAAAGTGTGAGAAATAAGCATAACAAGCAATAAAGGCGTCTGAAACCATGAGAAAGTCATTACTGCTTTGTCCATCAGTAAGCATGCTAGAGTTGCAGTAAGACTACATTGTTCTAGATATTTAAATTAGAACTACCTGACTTTTCAGGGATTAATGGCCTGAGTCAATAGGTAGGTATAGACATGTCTCAATTCATAGACCTCAATTATTGTAACAGCATTGTTGTCAAGAAAGTAACAAACTTATTTTTTTTGTAAAAGATTAAGCATACTGTAACAATGGAAACAGCAGTAGGTACATTATTTGCATTAAGGTGAGTGCAGGGGTTTTTTTCTGAGTAGACATATACATATTATTTTGCTTTTATTATTTAAGGAGTAATTTCATCTGGTACCGAAACCTCTTGGGTGAAATACCACATGGGTATGGTCGCCCAGCAACACTACACAGGGATGTAGACTACAAACCTTTAAAGTTTGTTACTCCCTTGTGGTTTTCTCGTTACAATTTCTAATCAAGTTTTAACAGGTATGAGAAACACAACTGTAAACTTCAAAACAGACTAGTAAAAATCAGTTGGTAAACACGTTTATCACTTTTGACTAAAGCAAGCGGGGTTTTTTTTGTCATTGATATGTACTTAATGGCCTTTAGTATGCATTATTTAATAAAACTTTTACAATTAAATTCAGGGTTTGGTCCTCAAAAAGTACCACAACAGCTTCAATTCAGTCTTGAATCTAAACACAATAATTACAAGTATTCACTCAGCCTCAATAGTCCTCGGAGTAGTTTCACTCAGGGAATGAGTCAAAACTCCCTGAAGTGAATATTATATCTTCCAAGAGTTTCCATCCTACCCCTGAAGCTCAGAGGTTAGACTTAAGTTTCAGGTTTTTTTCTGACTTGCATCACTTGGTTCAGTCTTCCCATTGATGGAGAAGAATCAATGAAAACTTTGGGAATTAGTACCAGGCTGAGAAGCCAGTTGGTAATACAGAGTGAGAGGATACAGATTTCATCCCACATCTATATCACGTTGTTAATGCTTATTGCGTTGTTAATAGAAGGTCTGATTTTATTGATAATGAAGTCAGTGCAGTGGCTAACTTCCATTCACCCAAATGACATGCCAGCCATCTCTTATTTTTCCTCAAACTCCTGTGTATCCTCTGCCTCCTTGATGACTTATAATTATAGCTTTCTTAAGACTAAGGCATTAAAAAAGTAATTTATTCTTGCAATAAGCCGTCTGAATCATCTTCCCGTTAATTGTTTACAACCATTACACTGGATATTTCCACGGCACCTCCCCGAACGCTCTCTGAAAAATTATCTCCATTTATTCAATTTTTTAAATTTTTTTCTTTTTTTTTTTTTTTTTTTTTTCAACAGCCGGGGGCCGTGTCCCCGTTCAGATAAAGGCGGCGACAGCCCGCTATCGACCAACCCGCCAAGGATGGCCGCAAATCCGCCAAGTCATGCTGCCCTTGCAAGGGGCGGGCAGGGCAAGGGAGGGGCGGCAGCGGCGGCCCCCCCCTCCCCTCCCCGTTCCGCGGCGGCGGAAGGAGCCCGTCTCCTCGCGAGAGCGGGGCGGATATAAAGGGGCGGGCGCGGGGGGGCTGCCGCAGTGTGGGCCTTCCTGCGGCGGCGGAGACTGCGAGGCTTCCGCTCTTTGTGTAAGTGCGGGGGGGCG